TTCCTTCTGGTGGTGTATACGCTTGTTTCCATGTGCATGCAAATCTCCACCTCCTAGTTTGTTGGTGTCGACGTTTGATGTCGCGATTCCGGTATTTGCATAGTATGGGGATCGTTGGTACTAGGGTATACGCGAGACTGAGGTAAAATAGACGGAGGCGAGGATTTTTATACAGGTTCGGGCCCCTGAATTGTCAGGTAATAACCCTACATCCTGTTGGCCGAATCCGATATTGCTCTTATTCACCATAATCACACCAGTACAATATTTGGGGTAGCCTATCTAACTGTTGTCGACATGGCGGTCTGAAGGTCTGACTCGTAGTCGACAACAGGGTAGTCTTTCTCCTTGAATCCGTGCCCGGCGAGATCAGAGATAACGCTTTCGTCTCTCTTGACAGTATCCGGAGACACTGTAGGGGACTAGCCGTGCTTATCCCTGAAGTCGATATCCGGCGGTTTGTCTTGGCGTATGTTGGCTTGTATGTTGATCTTGTGTCTAGATCTATTGTTTCGTGTCTTCTATGGTGAGTGTGTTGATTGTCCCCTCTCCTCCTAGAGGGTCTTGTATTTATACCCATAGGTATCCCCTTGTTCAAGTAAAACTAGGGAAACCAATATGGATACAATCCGAGTAGTCCTTGTCGTTTCCATGTAGAACTCTGGTTGTCTTCCCTTATCCGGAACTCCTTCTATATCTGCAGGTTATTTCCGTATAGGACATGGTATGTGGTGGGCCCTGCCGAGATTTAGCCAACTACTATTAGGTATGTGGTATCCATAACCCTCACAGTTGGGTGTACCGTCCCAGTTTCTAGCACATGCATGTTTTCCAATTCGATTGATAGCTGCCATTTGTGAAACAGAAAAGTGAAAAAAATGGAAAAAAAAAGAAAGAAAAGGCAGACGGTGCAAAAAAAAAAAGAGCCGCACCAAAAAAAAATCAGAAAAAGAAAATAAAATAAAAAAAGAGAAAAAATCAGGAAAAGAAAGTGTGGATTTTTTTTTTTGGAATCTTGGAGAGAGTTGCTTGATATAGCGAGTTGTGTTTTGTCCAAGTATGATCATTTGCTTGCTTAAGCTAGGATTGAGTCTAGACTAGGCCAGCAATTTTGATCAGTACTTTGGACTATTATTCAATTTCGCAAATCTATTTGATTTTTGCTATTCCTTGCGATATAGTTAAGCCTACCAAGATCCACATACCACTAACCTTTACAGGTTCAACTTTGCAATCGCTCCACTCATCAAGCATGTCATTGTGCCACGAACTAGCCACGGTGATTCACCTGCTTTGCATTCTTTGAGAACATTATAAGAATTTGGTATATGCTCGAGTGTTGAGTGACTTGCAACCCCACAAGCAAAATTTGTTGTTAACAAGAAGTTACATGCATCTGTTTGTTTTTCTTGTTTGCTACTAACAATGGCAGGTGTGTATAAAGAGAACAGGATTGAACATATAAAACATTGGCTTTCACATCAAGAAGAGGTACATGATGAGGTTTGTGAAAATGAGATATCATTGCCTTCATTTGTTGGTAGGTTTAATCCTAGGGACTATATTGATTGGGAGTTAGAAGTGGAAGATGAACTTGAATACTATGAATTGTCTGAGGAACAAAAGATTAAGGCAGCCACAAGTTCTTTTACTTCTTTTGCATCTCTTTGGTGGAGTGATATTTGTTTTGTCGGTAATAAACCTAATTCTTGGAATCACTTAAAAAAAATGATGAGAGCTAGATTTGTACCCGATTATTATATTCGTGATTTACAAAAGAAAATGCAAAATTTGAAAAAGGGCATAGAACCGTGAGAGAGTACCACCGGGAGTTTAAAATTTGTATGTTGTACGGTGGTATAGAGGAGTCTAGAGGAGATACAATTAAAATATTTTTACTTGGGCTTGATTTAAAAATTCAGCATAGGCTTGAAAATAAAACACATAGCCATCTTTTTCAGTTACTTTTGCATGCTTGCGATATTGAAAGTCAGATTGAGAAAGAAACAAAAATGCCTATGATACATGAGAATATTCTTGTGCTTTGTATTGTACCTAGCATCGTGCAGGAATGTAAAGTCAGATTACTTTTGCATGCTTGCGATATTGAAAGTCAGATTGAGAAAGAAACAAAAATGCCTATGATACATGAGAATATTCTTGTGCTTTCTATTGTACCTAGCATCGTGCAGGAATGTAAAGATAATTTTGAAGAAAAGAAGAATGAAGAACGTAAATTAGGTGAAGAGAGCGTTTCAAGTAATTTAACTAATGGTTGGTCAACTAGACCAAGGTAAGAAAGATTGCGATATGCTACAATTGTCCACTAATTATGCTATGTTAGAGCAACCTCTAGTGGAACAGATTTCTAATTTGCCTTAATCACAAGCTAAAAATTCAGATTGTGTTGATATTGATAATGCTTGTAATGAAGAAGAGTTGTGCAATGTTTCACTTACATACATGCCACAACTAGTGAAAGAACACGTTACTTCTATTTCTAAATATTTGGTTTCCACTCAAAATAAACGTGTGTTTGTTATTGCTGATGACCAAGAAGAGCTGAAATTATTGTCTTCTTTATGTACTTTGGGTTATATTGAATATGATGTTCTTTGTGATCTAAATACCTTACAGAAGAAAATTTATGATTTTCCATGTTATTCTTGGAACAATTATCATGTTATTGGTAAATATAATAATAGAGGATGTTATATGGTGCATCGTGTTTATATATGTTTAGATATGAATCCTCCTTTAAATATGGAAAAATATGAGAAACCAAATGGATCGTACAACATTGGTACTATTGGGATAAATTCACCTAACATTGTTTTAAAGATTGATGACAATATTTAAGAAGGGGAGTGCTATGCACTATTAAATTCGAAGGTCAAATCTCGCTATCATTTTAAGACATATTCATTCAGTAAGGTGAGTTGGTTTCCTCGTGATGTAAATTGGATTTATAAGGAACAAATGATGCTACACAATGATTGCTTGTTTGTTATTTTTTCAGTTGATCTCTCGTATGACGACAATTGCAATAAGAAACCGAGGACGGTTTCCAAACAAAGAGGGGAGGATGATGTGACCATCAAGTATATGCATACATCCAAGCATGAGAAATATAAAACATGGCCAAAGAATACATCGAGTGAATGGAGGATCTACAAGATATTAAAGTCCAATAAGTTTTGGAATCCAGTTCGGCCTCTGGAGACAGCACTGACTTCAAACGGACCTAGCGCCTTCATGCCAACTCCGATTTGGGTGATCTTGGACTTGATGGAAATCTTATCTTGCTACCTTTCAAACGCATCCAGTTTCATATCCAAATTCATTCCGAGTCAACGGGAATCGTCAAAAATGGGCAGTGTTGTTGCTGAAACCGAGCTTGGGCCTTGGGCCTTGTAATAGACTAGGCCTATCTCGGAAGTGTCTCCTTCCACCTCCACGAATTAGCACTTAACCATAGCTTTATTTTCCTCTATAGATAGCTTTGTACATCCTCAAAAACAATCGGGTTTTGTTTAGTTGAATTTTGCCAAGTGCCATTCACCTTGTCTCTAGTCCTCGTTCGATTAGTCGGCGACTATTGATTCAGAGCCCCCAATATTTGGTGTGTTGATTTGCCGGGTCGATTAGATCTACCGCTTCAATCGCAACTATTTATTTGTGCTTAATCACACCTATTTGTAATATTTAGATTTCATCTTATCTTGTTCTTGCAGTGTTCTCTCGTTTGCATTGCTGGGATCATCAACCGCACGTCACGGTTGGTACGACATCGTTTGTGGTGTAGCGATTGCACGACGTCCTGGACTTGTTCTGGTTGGTAGCCACGTCGCAAGCGTCACAGTCGATCAAAGCAAGAGTTATCCCCTCACCAGAAGATTGGGCCACGAGAGAGAGCGTCATTAGAAACCTTGTAAGCTGGCTAAATTAGGTTGTGCCCAATTTCCTTGATGTGGAGTACCTTGATAGCTTGGAGGAGAATAACCATATGGTGGATAGTTGCTTGGGGAACGAAATGGATAGAAATTATGTAAAAAATGTGGGTTGAAGCTTTGGGTAAACTGAGATTGGGGAAAATTATTGGGGAATTGTTGGGGAGGGGAGTTGTGGCAAGGCTTTTCTGTATGGTTTGGAGAGTCTTGACTGAGAAGATCTATGAATTTTTAGTTGGATGAATCCATCCCCTGATGAAATGAAGAGATACAAACTGAAATCTCTTGTTGGTCTGTTTTATAGGAGCATGGAGAAGGAGAGCTAACACCCAGCAGCAACGGCTACTTCAACAGACACCTGCTCACGCACCAACTGCTTTAGATTTTATATTCATTTGTACACGGTGAACTTTAAAAAGTATTGTATTTTATTTCCTTGTGGCCAGCCCATATAGCTAAGGACTACTTTAGCAATTAATGCCATATGAACTACCTCAAAAATGTATATGGCCTGTCCTTATAGCTGCATTTATTTCATAATGCCTACTTTAGTGATACATTGTGGATGCTCTAAGGCTGTGTTTAGATTCAGGGGTGTAAAGTTTTGGCGTGTCACATCGGATATACAGACATACATTTGAATTATTAAATATAAACTAATAACAAAACAAATTACAGAATCCGCCTATAAACTGTGAGACGAATTTATTAAATCAAATTAAACCATTACTAGTAAATGTTTACTGTAGCATCACATTGTCAGATCATAGATCAATTAGGCTTAAACGATTCGTCTCGCAATTTACACGCAATTTATATAATTAGTTATTTTTTTATTTATATTTAATATTTTATATATGTGTCGAAATATTCGATATGATACGGTGAAAAAAAATTCAAGAGGATCTAAACATGGCCTAAACCAATCGGTTAGAAGCAACGTTGAGTTGGATGGACATTTCCGTTGGGTACGACGACGTGCCCATGTCATGTCACTCATCCGTCCCATCCATCCACACACACTTCAATTCCACTGTAGCTTCACCTCTATTATTTCCCCCGTTCACCTGTCCCCTGTCGGTAGCTTCTACTAGTACCGAGGTAGCTGCTGCTAATTACCCCAAGCTTGAGCTAAGCTAGCTAGCCATGGCGACCAGGCTAGAGCAGTGCTGCTTGCTGCTGCTGCTGCTGCTCTGCTCCTGCAGCTCCGCCGCCGTGGCTGCGGCGTCGCCGGCGGCCATGAGCAGCAGCAGGAAGGCGGTGGATCGCCTGCCCGGGTTCGCTGGCCCCCTGCCCTTCTCCCTCGAAACAGGGTATTAATATAAGTTTAGTAGTACTAGTAGTAATCTTACGCTCTGTGTTGCTTGCTCGATCTGCTGTGATCTCTCTGAAATCCTGCATTCGATCTGATTCTGAATTCTGAGCAGTGATTAACTGCATGCTCTCCTATGCTCTGCTGTGACCTCTGAAACTAAAAAATGTTTCGGTTCGATCTTGTGTTGATGTTCTTAGGGCCTGTTTAGTTACTCCAAAACTTTTCTCAAAAACATCATATCGAATCTTTAAACACATATATAGAACATTAAATATAGATAAAAAGAAAAACTAATTGCACAGTTTATATGTAAATCAATAGACGAATCTTTTAAGCCTAATTAAACCATGAGTAGCCATAAGTGCTACAGTAACCTACATGTGCTAATGACGGATTAATTAGGCTCAAAAGATTCGTCTCGCGGTTTCCAGGCGGTTATGAAATTAGTTTTTTCATTCGTGTCCGAAAACCCCTTTCGACATCCGATCAAACGTTCGATGTGACATCAAAAATTTTCATTTCACCAACTCAATAGGCCCTTAGCGGTTTGTGGTTAAACTTTTCGGTCATCTAAAACCACTCTCAGGGCCCCTTTGAATTGAAGGAAAGACATATGAATTTTGGAGGATTTCAATCTTATAGGAAAATTTCCTATGATGCCCTTTAAAACAAAGGATTGAATCCTATCCAATCCTTTGAAATTCCTATAAAATGGACATTCCTATAGAGATTTTGGAGGAAATTTAGCAAGAGCTTCAACCTCTTGGTAACTTTCCTTTGAGTCTATCTCTCTCATCCAATTCCTGCGTTTTTCCTACGGTTCAATCAAACGGTCATTCCTGTGTTTTTCCTGCGTTTCCTCGAAATCCTATGTTTTTCCTATTTCTACGTTTTCTCAATTCCGCGATTGAAAAGGGCCCTCAGTGGTTTGTGCTTGTGCGTGGTGCTTGATCGTGTGTATTTCGATGTGTGTTTTTTCTTGTAACTTTTTTTTCCTTCTTACTAAATTTGGATGGCCTCCTTCGATCTTTCCGGTGAAATAAGAGGATCTTGTGTTGATGCCTGATGAAGATTATGTATACGCGGCATGCATGCGTGGCATGGCATGGCATGACAGGTACGTGGCGGTGGGCGAGGCGAGATTCTTCTACTACTTCATCGAGTCGGAGAGGAGCCCGGAGGAGGACCCCGTCCTGCTCTGGCTGACCGGTGGGCCCGGATGCTCTGCCTTCTCCGGACTCATCTACGAGATTGGTAATGTACTAAAATACTTTACGGTTTTGCTAAAATTTTATCACAGATATTAGGGCTAGTTGCAGTCGATTTTTTGAGCCGTTTGATGCTCTCTCTAATCCGTGTAAGAGTAACAGTTTGGACACGAACTGATTAAGGAACACGGCTAGTTAAGGCAGTAAAATTGGAAGCGTGCTTGGGTGTGGGGCTATGGCACAAGTTAATTCAACTGTTGCTACGATGAATGTTACAGCTAGGCTAAGAATGGCAAATCCAGTTTATTCAATTGAGATAGATTAAGCATTACAGCTGCTGTAGTGGAAAAAAAAATTCGGCTATTTTTTAGTCTAAAATATGTCGACATCTAGATAGATAATCTCATTTTTTTTATTAGTACTGTACCCATGATACTACTACAGTACTGATCCCATCACATGACTGTAGTTTTGGAAATTGAATTTTTTGCATTTTCTATGGACATATTCAAGCTTGCTCCTTCAAGCCATTTTCCCATGGTCAACCAAGTATTTCTATTTTCTAGAGCACATATGTTCTACATCTGGTATCTTAGCCCCCTGGCCTCTCTCTCTGCCTTTTCTTATAAGTAGCACTTGGCCCCTCTCCATCTCTAAAACACTTAGGCAGCGTTTTTGGAGGACATTGAGGGAGAAAGCATCTCGTTTTCCGCACGCACGCTTCCCAAGCTATTAAATGGTGCGTTTTTTACAAAAAATTTCTATAGGAAAGTTGCTTTAAAAAATCATATTAATCCATTTTTAAAATTTAAAATAGTTAATACTCAATTAATCATGAGCTAATGGCTCACCTCGTTTTGCGTATCTATCCAATCTCCTCAATCCCCTTCTCCTCAAACACACCCTTACTCCCTTTGTCAAAAACAACTGATGGGTCTCTAGAAGTTAATCATTTTTAGGACGAACAGAATACGTGCATGCTATAGCGAAGTCAGGATGGCATAGGCAAAATATTCTTAAACGATTTAACAGTGCTGTCATATTATTATTATTATTATTATTATTATTATTATTATTATTATTATTATTTGGTTATGTGCAGGCCCTCTCTTTTTTGATTTTCATGGCCACAAAGGAGGGTTGCCTACTTTGCACTACAAGGCAAACTCCTGGACCAAAGTTAGTACTCCTTTTCTTGTACAAGTATATGAACAATGAAATACATAACAATTTCTTGTCTCTATTTCATATCTTAGCAGTAATTAGGTATCAAGAATTAATGTAAAAACTCTTGTTAGCATCCATAGCCCCAAACATCAAGCTCAAAACATATATAAATGTCTCTTGATTGAGGAAGATGCTTAATTTTCTTTCAGTTTGGTTCTCTGATTGCAGATAAGCAATGTTATCTTCGTCGATTCTCCACCTGGGACTGGCTTCACATATGCCACCACAGCCGAAGGACTCAAGTCCAGTGACACCATTGTTGTTCACCAGCTCTACACTTTCATCCAAAAGGTTCAATACACAACACAAACTATATGCTCTAGTACATGTGTTATATTTCTATTTCTAGTTCGCCGAGGATTTTCATTCCTCTTCGCTGTGAATTTGTGTTCTTTTCTAAGAATATATTGAACTGTCTGCCTGCAGTGGTTTGACGATCATCCACAATTCTCCTCGAATCCGCTCTATGTTTCGGGTGATTCTTATAGCGGTATAATTATACCTACTCTCACCATGGAAATAGCTAAAGGTAATTAACTTATATTTTGATCATCCTTCTTCACTCTTATATCAGTGAACATACAGGGCTAACTTTACTGCTCTGTTCATATTCTTTTTTCACTGATTATTTTTTTTCTTTTGTTCTAGGAAAAGAATCCAGCGACGAGCGGCATCTTAATCTCAAGGTTCAAGGTTTTCTTTTGCTTTTTGGTGACATGAATTTCTTTCAATTCACTTAATGCTATTTTGGTACAGCTTTTATTCTATTCTGAGGTTTAGCATACCGGTATTTTGCTCTGTTCAGTTTTCTGATATCCCAACAGTGGTAGCTACACTCCAACAGTCACACTCTCTTTGTGAAATAAAATCTTCAGATATTATGCCATAGAATTTAATGGTACGATATTTGTTTTGACATTGTTAATCTATTATCTTTTGATTATCTGTGAACCTTATGAAATGAGTGATCAACATGATACCTATGTGAAAGTATACTATGATTCTAATTTATGTTTGTTTGAACGAATATTCAGGGTTACATTGCTGGCAATCCATTGACTGACACTACCCATGATGACAACAGTAAATTTCCCTTTCTTCATAGTCTGGGAATTATAGATGATGAACTATATGAGGTGAGATAAAGAAGAAACATGACTTTATCATGTGCTGTTTTGTTTCTATTATGATTTCGGACATAGAAATCGGACATAAAATTTTCGAATATCTAGGGGTATGGTTTTGCTTGGTTGTTTGGCTAGCTACCACTTGATTGAACTATCAATTCAAAAAAATACATTTCGATTGAATTAATAAAATGTTTCCATATCAGATTGGTAACCAATACCGTAGAAACATCGAAATTGATTCAACAACTACTTAATTTACATTGGTATTTTTATCACTGTGTATATAGGTTGCTCGGAAGAATTGCAAGGGAGATTACATGACCCCTCCAAACTCTCAGTGTGCCAACTCTGTCCAAGCCATCAGGGATGTAAGGCACCCATCTACTACTTTCGGAAAAAAAATAATTTTAGTGAATGACATATACATAAATAATATGGCACATGTATATTCCGTTCTCATTATTCTTTTTGGAACTATACCAAGTTGATGTGAATGATAATAATATGCAGTGCATAAGGGATGTGAATGATTTACACATCTTGGAGCCACGCTGCGAGGAAGATGGAATAAGCCTCATGTCCGACAACTCGGCTTCATCACACGATAGAAGAACAAAGCTACTTGAGTCGGCAGTTTCGTCCATTTGTAGGGTAAGAAACAAATATCTCTTACTTCGCGGTTACGCTTTTTATGTCTTATTGCTGACACTAAGAATTTAGGATTTGAAATTCCATATAGTATTTATCATTGTGGTTGTAATTCAATCTTTTTGTTGTATTTCATTTGACTGCAGAATGCCACCTATGTTCTGTCCAAAATATGGGCAAACGACGAAGCTGTAAGGGAGAGTTTGGGTATTCACAAGGTAAGGTAATTTTATATAATTAGTGATGTAAATAACTACTTAGAGGTAAAAACAACTGTTGTGTACTACACTGCAGGGGACAGTAACAACATGGGAAAGATGTAATCATGACCTTCTTTACAAAAAGCAAATCGTTAGTTCAGTGGAGTATCATTTAAGCCTGATTACCCAAGGATACCGAGGCTTGGTATACAGGTAATGGAGTGGGCTAGATAATATTTTTTTTTTAAAAAATGTAACAAAAGGAGATATATTTAACTGAAGAATCAGCCACTAAGAATTGATATTAGTATTAGAGAAATTTTACGGTACTTGAGAAACTACTAGTACTTGTAGGTAATAAATTTTGCACTAAAATTGTTTGGTACATCGAGCTACTACAGAGGTACCTCCTGCTATCTTCTTAACATGATAAAATTTAACTTAGCCTCAGGTGAATTATTTTTCTTCTGTTTCCTTTGCCCTAGGTCGACCATATTAATATTCCTTGATTTGATCTTGCAGTGGAGATCATGACAGTGTAGTATCTCTTATTGGCACCCAAGGATGGCTTAGATCTCTTAACCTGTCCATCACACATGGTTGGCGACCATGGTACGTCAACAGCCAAGTGGTAGGGTAAGTAAGTACTCCCTCAATAGTTGGTTAGCTCAAAATTGAACTAACCAACGTCAAACATGGAAGGAGGTAGTAAGGATCAGAGCACTATATATTCTACTGTTCCATGCATTCACTGTCGGCAGGGTTAAAATTCCCAACTACCACTGGGAACCAGTTCTACATGTTCGGACAGAGATAACACAAACCGGCTGGTCTTTTTATTGTTAAATCCAATTCAGTTCTCATAAATTAAATTTGTGACCAGCAGGCCGCAGTCAACAGTTTTCTGTGAGTCGAGATTTCAGTCCTTTACCATCAATTTCTATAAACTCACATATATAGTTTAACACCATAAGATTTATATTTCAGATTCATATCATGAGAAATATTTTGATAATATATAAATTCACATGTTATTAAACTACATGGATTTCTAAGAATTAATTGTCAAAGATTAGCCTATATTGGGACTTAGCAAAGATTTCCTGTTGGCCATGGGTACCCCTATAACCTCAGTGCGAACTTTTTTCACTGAGTTATATTATATGAAATGAAAAAGGGCCACTCTGACAGTTGTTTTCGTTTGGATAAAATTATGGAAATATGAAAGGGAAAAGGGCAATTTCTTAATACTTTTCTTCAGAGGCAACTTATGGAAATATAATAGAAAAAATGGCTATTTCTAATAATAGTTTTATAAGGGCAATTTATAGAATTATAAAATAAAAAAAATCCTTTATTGGGAATTGTTTTCTGAAGGGGCAGATTATGGATATGTAAAAGAAGGCGAAAAATGTCAAAATAAAAAAAAAGATAATGTTCTCAGGGTGTGTTTAAAGTTTAACTATGATGAATCTATGGATTATTTGGAACATCCATTTAGTTAATTATATATGCAATAATGTTATGTTATGCATATATTAATGTCCTGTACATTCATTTTTTCTAATTTTCCTAGGTTCACAAGAACTTACTCCAATAACTTGACATACGCAACTGTGAAGGTATAGTATTTGCCTATTTGGTGGATACTCACATGCATTGATGCTTTCAGTTATTAAATTTAGGCCTGAAATTTATAATCTGAGTGATTGATCAGTGTGCATGAATATGTAGGGTGCTGGGCACACAGCCCCGGAGTACATGCCAAAGGAGTGTCTTGCTATGGTTGATAGATGGCTTTCTGGGGAACCTCTTTGATCAATCCAGTAATTAGGAGTCTGTTCTCTTAACTAAGATTCTCTTATTTATATGTGTTCTACTATTTTTTTTTTCTATTCTGACTCGCTTATTCTATCTAGCTGAGCCATTCATTCCTTTCTATAAAATAAAGATAATTAAGGAGACAGAAAAAAAACAAATAAAGAAACAAACGTATTGAATACACAAACAAAAAGAGAGAGGAAATCAAAAGGAGAGAGAGGGATTCAAACCCTCGATAGTTCCTAGAACTATACTGGTTTTCAAGATCGGAGCTATCAACCACTTAGCCATCTCTCCACATAATTGGTTATCAACATATATACTCTTGCAATTGAAAATAGTTCCATGAGCAAAAGCGTGCCACACGAAGATTCTACAATAGCATGTATTGAAGAACCGGTAAAAGAAATTTTACTAAATTTGAAAGAAATTATATTGAGAAGTAATCTTTGTGGAGTTAGAAACGCATCAATTTTTGTCAAAGGTCCTAGATACATAACTGCTGAAGATAATATCTTATTACCTTCCATAGAAATCGTTGATATGACACAACCTATAGCTAACTTGACAGAACCCACTGATTTAACATCAAATAACAATTAATAGCAGGTCGAATTATGGCATTAAATCGATCCGCGGATAAGAATATTTGCCCACCTGAAATGGAGATTACATTAGTAGGAATATAGACATAAACATCTTCAGATTGAGTCTCAACTATTGACAAAGCAGTTATAGTCTCAACTATTGACAAAGCAGTTATACTTTCTTCCCCTAAAAGAGAATTTAATGTAGCGGATCTTTCTAAAATACGTGAATGCAAATAAAAAGCATCCCCTGGGTAAGCTTTGTGGCCAAGGAGTCTTCTTTATGGAATGGACATTTGGCGATAAGCTCGTGCCCGTTTGGAGAGATTATCGTAAATTATTAAAGATGCAGATGCAGAAATAATGCTGAGTACTCCCTCCGATCCGTTTCATCTTTCATCTTATAAGACTCTTTGTCTTTTGATTTTCTTAAAGTAAAACTTCTTAAAAAAATTTAGCAGCATCTACATGAGCAAATTAGTCTCATTAAATGTAACAATATTAATGGATATATTTCGACAACTTGTTTGTTTTGTGTTGAAAATGTAGCTATATATTTGTTTTAATTTGGTCAAAAAATCTATGGATGGAGCTAAATTTTATACATTTTCTTAATTATTTATCTGTTGGTGTGATAATTATTTGTACTTATTATTTCATATGTGGCTACTGTTTTGGATAATCCAAATAAACTCCTCAGTGTTCGGGATGGCAGCATGGTGAATTGTAAGCTTTTCTGTCTTGTTAGTTGCAGGATTAAATAAACTGGCATGCTCTGAACCCGATTTTGAGGACATACATTAAAGTTAAGTTAAGCAAATCTACCTTCATATCTCTCCATGCTACAACGCACGATACTATTTCTTCCTTCCTCCCCCTCCCCCCACCCTATTTGGTTCTTTGCGCCATCTTGTTGCTACTTGATGGCGGTGCCATCGTCTTTCAGCCAAAGCTCCACCCAATGATGGTGGCGCCTCCCCAAGCTCCATGATGCGGATCAAAGTTTTCTTTTTTTTGACCGTATTTTTTTTATTTTAAAGATTATAGAGCCGGTTCTGGAATGGAATAGAACTGACACCTATGGGTGCTCTGTAGTGGTGAGTTTATAGTTCGCACTACAAAATAAGGTATTACGATATGATTAATTAAATATGAATTATTATAAAATTAAAAACATTTAGGGTAAGCGTATCCAAGGTAACAAAGAGATCGAGCATGCGCAGCGTGAAATTTAGAGGGGTTTATATAAAAGAGAGAGACAGATGGAATCGATCCTACACATTGGAGTGATTTTTTTAGCTACTTGCAACATCTTTCTTTTATTAACCGTGATGGGTCCCATTCATATTATTTTTGATGGTGCCTTTTTACCCTGCAGATATTTTTGCAAGATGCCATCCCTGCCGTGGGGCCCTCCATAAGGACCTTCTCCATTTCTAAACAATACATATGCTCTGAATATGCAAAAGCCAAACGAGCTGTAGAACTCAGCCATAGTTTTCGTCGTATAATTAATGTTGGAAAGAGTATTATTTATATTCCGTTAATAAATTAATGGACTGAATGAGACTTAGCTTATGTGATACTCCCTCCGTCCCACAATATAAAGGATTTTAAGTTTTTACTTACAATATTTGACCACTCATCTTATTCAAATTATTTTTGCAAATATAAAAAACGAAAAATTGTGCTTAAAGTACTGTAGATAATAAAGTAAGTCATAAATAAAATAATTAATAATTTCAAAAAAATTTGAATAAGACGAGTGGTCAAACGTTATAAGCAAAAAAAACTCAAATTCCCTTATATTATGGGACGGAGGGAGTATGAATTATTGCAGTAGATTACTGGATAACATCCATGGTCTCCTCCAGCCCGTTTCCCGAAAGATGCCACTATCGCGTTGCAGATAACATTTTCTATCCAGGGCAGGGTCTCAATGCTAGTAAATTAAGAAAACAATAATAAATAAATAAAATAAATGCAATTTTACGCTCTTTAAAAAGAAGCAAGAGAACTCCAGGCTCCAGTAATCAATCTTATCAAGATCTTGAGTCCAAACAATCCCTCAACCCGTGCACTCTGCCATTCCGAAAGTCAATAATGTAAATCTAGTTAAAATCTATATTTTTTGTGGAAGTAGTTAAAATCTATCTACAATAAATGTCGAAACAAGATTTCGGCAATACTAAAAGGGGTGACTATCAAGCTAGAAAAGTGAATGGGTTTAGAGACAAGGAATTTTATACAGGTTCAGGCCTTCTTAATAAGAAGTAATACCCTACTCCTGTCCGGGGATTGATCCACCGAGTATATTATTGATCGTATGATCTGGGAGAAAAATCGTGCCTCAAAAGGCACCCGGACCCCTTCTTATATAGGGGAAGGGGTCCGTATTATAAAGTACATCCCATATCCCTAACGGAATAGGTAGTTACAGATAAGATACAATCGTAACCGACCTAACGGAATAGGTAGTTACAGATAAGATACAATCGTAACCGACTAGGACCCCGGGTATTTCCTTGACATACAAGTTTGGAATTTAACCCAAGTCCCTTTAAAGATATTCTATCTATACATGGTACCCCATACCCAATCGGATATACATGTCGTGTGGATATGGGGTATCCATAATCTCCACAGTAGCCCCTGAGACCTTTACAGTCGACGAAATAGTCTTCTCTCGTAATTCAAAACGATAATCCGATTGCTTCAACTTCCTTTGCCTTGTTCTCCCGAGTACTAAAATCAAAGACTGTAAAGGGCTGAAAATAGAAAAAATCAGGTGCATCGACTAGATGCACCTAATTAGGTGTAGCCCCCGACTATGTGATTAGTTAAATAAAAACTAAACATATAGTCAAAGTGCATTAAAACATCCATCCGAGTGGTTTTACAACCGAATCATCCAAGGGATCATATAGCTAAGCATATGCGGCGTTTAATAAAACATCCAATCGACTGCTTTAGCTTTAATACATCAAAAGGGAGATATAGAAGAGGCCTGAGTGAGAAACACTCTAAAGGTCTATAAATCAACACATCTGATAAAATCCGAGTAAAAACTCTCAAAAAGATCTATCAAATGTGATATAAAGCATGATAAACGTCGAGTCTAAATAGCCTAAGCTACGACTCACGCCATTACCAAAGTAAGCATATAACATGCCGAGAGAATGACCATTTAAAACCGGTCATCTCAATAAGACCCGAATAGATTTGTAGCCTAAAAAGGCCTACAAAATTAGTATAGCACTATTCTGTTGGGCACCTCTTTATTTGCATTGTAGTAATTTCAAAGAATTATCTAACTGCGTCAAAAAGGATTTTAGCAGCATTGGGCTATTCCGTCATGAGCAAATGTCGCCAAAGCAAAAACAAATGCCTAAGTCCCTAAGGATCACAACCAGCCACGCTGACAATAAAATTGGGCTGAAAGTACTGTTTAGGCCCAGGCCCATTAGCACCTCCCGATACCCTAGCGAAATAAACGCCGAAGCGCCGTTTCGTCTTCCCCGCCGAAACCTCCGCCACTTTCCCCATTCTCCGCTACAGTGCAAAACCACACCGGCAAAAGCTAGGGTTCACAAATCCACTCCAATCCATCTCTCTAGAGCTTCACAGCTCCCACAAAAATCTTCCGCGCAACCATCGTATCAACCTGCCATCCATTCCTGGCCATTTCCAAATCAAATCACATCATCCAACTCGCATCCATGGCAGAGAAGAGAGAAAGCTTCGAAAGTCAGTGGGCGCCCTCTGATGTTACGGAGGAAAACTTGAAAGAGATTGTGGCGCATGGTGTCCTTCCGGCGAAGGAGATCATTGGCTGGCGTCCGGCGTGTGGCGAAACGTTCTTGACCCCGGATACACACGAGGTCGTTGTATTCTCCCATTTCTTTTATGGTGGTTTTTCTCTTCCAACCTCTAAGTTCTTCAGGGGAATTCTGGAGTTTTACGGGATTAGCCTGCATCATCTGAACCCCAATTCCATAGTTCACATCGCCAATTTCATCCATGCTTGCGAGGCTTTCCTGGGTATTAGGCTGCACTTCGCCTTATTCCGCCGCATCTTCTTCCTCAAGCCCTAGCCAAACAAGAGCAAGCCGTGCGTTGTTGGGGGAGCCAGTTTTCAATTAAGGGGAACCTTGAGCCAGAAATACTTCTCCATGCCCTTCAAAACCTCGAACAAGGGCTAGCATGCAAATTGGTTTTATGTGCAGAATCCTGAACCAGCGCTTCCTGAGTACTCCTGCCTTCTTCCAGTATACCAAGACACCTGGAACTCGCTTCCAATGGGAGATGAGGCTGCCCAAGCACTTTCTCTGATGGATCGCATGCTGAAGCTCAAAGAGCAGGGTCTGCAAGGGGAACAAATCACCCGACATTTTATCAAGAGCCGGCTGGCACCAATCAAAGAGAGATCTCGCACGGCCTTTGAGTTTGATGGCAATCATGACCCCAACCGTGAAGATCCAGAATCTCTTGAGTTTAAAATCATGAAGGAGAGAATGTACAAAATCTTTTCAAACGCTATCGTGGTTAGCTATTCACACTTGCTGCCAATGGTGCCATATAATGCTTTCAACCCTCCTCCACCGGTATGTATCAGACATCTCGGCCTCTCTCATAACATCCTTTTATCTTTTGCAAGGTTGACTGAAAACTTGAAATATCATACATAGGAATTTTCCTTGATGAAATCTGATCCCCCAATCGCTCAGCACCGCTCACCCCATCGGCAGGCTAGTCAGACTAGTGGAGGCCCGAAAATCTGGTCTGACGCTCAACCAAACATCTCAAAGCCGACTAACCAGTCAGACTCTCGTAAAAGGAAATTAGTTCTGAGTGACGACGAGGGTGACAATGTTGAAAAGACTGGCAACAAAGAGGTGACTGGAAAACAGCCAAGACAAGCTAACACGAAGAAGAAAACATCCAGTCGTCCCATACCAAAAATCAGGAAGTCGTCGAGATACAAGTCATTTAGCAATTTCTCCTGTATCGCGAAACATTTACTATCGAAGTAGTGTTAACAGCATATCTCAAATCTATAGGAAGCCATCTGACATCGATCCTTCTGGAAAAGACTCTGAACCGACTAGCGTGGAGACTGGTCCTGTGACAGAAACCGGGCCGACTGCCGAAGATCGCCCGAGCAATAATCAACCGGCAACCGACAATGTAGAGGCCAGCAACGAGCCCCCGCCTGGAAACCAGTTGGCCAAAGCTGAAATCAGTGGTGATCAGGAGCCCCAGACTGGAAACCAGTCAGGTAAAGAACAAAATGAAGACATCCCGGAAATAGAGGCTCAAGCAAGCAGCCCTCCCCAAAAAGATACCAACACCGACCCGAAGTCCAGTTCATCCGATAGGGTGCAAGGGCCTACTCGTCCTCAACCAAAGATCATAACAGGTAATCATCTCTTCTAAATTC